CGCGGCACCCGCTGCACAACAACGACGACGACGGCGACGACGACGAGACGAAGGAGGAGATTGTGAGCGACGCCTTCGGCGACGAATGTGCCGATCCATCGCGCAATCCTCTTACAAACTTGCTTAACATTCCTTTAAAATTCCTTTGTCGTGCGGCAGCCCAGGAAGCACCACTCCCTGGGAGAAAGAGCCCCCAAACATGATCCAGCCCGCCCAGAGGGAAAATAATCTCCGACGCGACGACGACGACGACGACGACGACGACGACGACGACGACGACTACGACTACGACTACGACCACGACTACGATTACGATTACAACTACAACCACGAATACGATTACGACTACAATCACGACTACGTCTACGACTACAAATTCAATTACATCACGACTACAACCACAATCGCTGATTCCGATTGCAATCCCCATGAGAAGATCCTCACAAATCCTCTCGCGTTTAGGGTAGCCCACAAAACATTATTCCCTGGGAACAAGACCCCACAACATTACCCAGCCCGACCAACTAGAGGGAAAATGATCTCCGCCGCGACGACGACGACGACGACGACGACGACGACGACGACTACGACTACGACTACGACTACGACCACGAGGAGGAGCAGAAGGAGGACGAGGACGAGGCGGAGCAGAAGGAGGAGGGGAGGACCTAGAGGTTACTGCGGACACACCAGATTTTAGGCCAACCGACGCCTGCACAGGTCCCCCAAGAAGACAAAGAGGCCCCGACAGAATCCGAGGAAGGGTACGGATAGTCAAAACCATTCAAAATCAATTAAGAGTACTTGGCCAGACTGCCCAAGAAGCCGCAAAGAGGGCCCAAGAGAACCCCTGAGATCGCCAGAGGGCACAAGACAATCCAACAAAGCCCAAAGAGGCCCCAAAGACGCCACTGCAGGGATCCAGGAAGCCCCCCAGTCGCTCCGAGGGAGTCCCAAGAGGCCCCCAAGACGCCCCAAGAGGGCCCCAAGACGCCTCAAGAGTCGTTGCACAACCTCCTCCTGTTCTCCTCTCCCCGATCTGCTACTCTTCTTCTCATCCTCCTACTACTTCTTCTCCCCATACAGGGTATGGTATTTGGTCAAGATCCCAGAGCTCCTGGGCACCAATCATCCGTCGCCGTCGTCTGCTTCTCAGGCCGCGGGCCCCAGAGTGGTGGCCCTGACTCGAGGTGGTCCCGGCTTCTGAGGGCGGCCCAGATGGCCTGGGCACCCCTCACGATGGCCCTGGCTTTCGAGGGCGGTCCAGATGACCTCCAAGGCACCCCTCGCGAGGCCCTGGGGCCCGAAGACTTCTCCTGGACCCCGAGCAGACACGAACGAAGCCATAAGCCTGCCTGCTGTTGAAGACGTTCGAGGTCTGGTGCTGGCCGGGGGAGCAGATATTGGCGGTGCGCATGCGGGCGGCGGCGAGGGGCGAAGGGGGGGGCTCCTGAGAAGGCAACCGTCCTCGCTGGCGCCGAGGGTTGCGCCCTGGCCAAAAATGCAAATGTCGACTCCACGCTAGCCACGAGGGCGCCCCAGGAGGCCAGAAAGCGTCAAAAGGAACTGAACATCGAACCTCGAACCTCAAACCTCGCCACGGCACACCCGAAGTGGGAATCGATACATATATATTTATGTATATATACACATACATACATATATATATAGCTATATAGCTATATATATATATATACATACATACATACATACATATATATATATATATATGCGCAGCCCCCCCCCCCAGCGCCCATTGATTTTGCATCGGTCGTTGACCTCAACTTCTGAGAGAGAGAGAGAGAGAGAGAGAGAGAGAGAGAGGGAGAGTTGAGGGAGCAGCGATCGCTGTGGAATCACAAGATTAGCGACGTCAGGGGTCGCCAAACCCTGTGTTTTCATTGGGGTTTTTGGGATTTCTGATATGAGAATCAAGGAAACCATGTGTTTTCATTTGGATTTTTGGGTTTTTTTGATTTCTAAGGTTCTGAAGCTTCGGAGGCTCCTGGGTTGTTATTCTCTGGAAAGAGAAAATCCTAAAAATCCCAAAAATCCAAATGAAAACACATGGTTTCCTTGATTCTCATCCCAGAAATCCCAAACATCCCAATGAAAACAAAGGGTTTGGCGACCCCTGACGACGCTAACCCTGTGATTCCACAGGGATCGCTGCTCCCTCAACTCTCTCTCTCTCTCTCTCTCTCTCTCTCTCTCTCTCTCTCTCTCTCTCTCCACCTTTCTCTACCTCTCCCTCAGTCTCTCTGTGTGTCCTTCTCTGTGTCCCTTTCCTTTGTCGCTCTTGCTCTTTCTCCCCCTCCTTCTCCTCCTCCTGGCCCAGTTCCTCCTCCTCCTCCTCCTCCTCCTCCTCCTCCTCCGCATCCTCCTCCTTCTCCTCGTCGTCCTCCTCTTCTTCTGAAGCGCACAGGTGGGGGGAGAGAGAGAGGGAGGGAGAGTTGAGGGAGCAGCGATCGCTGTGGAATCACAGGATTAGCGACGTCAGGGGTCGCCAAACCCTGTGTTTTCATTGGGATGTTTGGGGTTTCTGCGATGAGAATCAAGGAAACCCTGCGTTTTCATTTGGATTTTTTTGGTTTTTTTGATTTCTAAGGTTCTGAAGCTTCGGAGGCTCCTGGGTTGTTATTCTCTGGAAAGAGAAAATCCCAAAAATCCACACAAAAAAAAAATGAAAACACATGGTTCCCTTGATTCTCATCCCAGAAATCCCAAAAATCCAAATGAAAACACAGGGTTTGGCGACCCCTGGCGACGCTAACCCTGTGATTCCACAGGGATCGCTGCTCCCTCAACTCTCTCTCTCTCTCTCTCTCTCTCTCTCTCTCTCTCTCTCTCTCTCTCTCTCTCTCTCTCTCTCTCTCTCTCTCTCTCTCTCCTCTCTCACACCTTTCTCTACCTCTCCCTCAGTCACTCTCTCTCTCTGTGTCCCTCTCTGTGTTCCTCTCTCTGTCGTTCTTGCTTTTCCTCCCCCTCCTCCTTCTCCTCCTTCAGCTCCTCCTCCTCCACATCATCATCCTCCTCCTCCTTCTCCTCGTCGTCCTC